AGGTAAGTGTAGACACCTCTTTGAATAGTGAGATCCAGCTAGTTTCTATCCATTAATTCATGTAAAATTCCTGTAATATATGAAAATAGGAGAAGACAGGACCCAAGTTTTGTTTTTGTTTTTGTTTCTCTTCGCTTGTGATGTGTGAAGACTGCTGCCAATTGGTAGTAGGGGTACTCCATCATTATATCATTAATAGATCTCACCAGAACAAGGTTTCATTACTGTGGATATTGGATAAGGCTCTGCCAGAAGGCTTTCAATACCCTAAGGATAAGATGTGCTAAGTCCCCAAATTAGGTGCAGCCGTCTTTGGGCAAGAATTTGAGGTTTGCAGGGATGTTTATGCTGGGGTTTGAGAAGCCTCGATCAAGATATTTCCCTAGGGTGACAAATCCATAATTGCACTTATCAGCTTTAGGCTGCCTTGATTAATGCAACCTTCTGTGATTTATCACCCAGAATATTTTTAAACAGGTGCTCTCTCTTCATTGTAATAGACTGGAGTTTTTCAGAAGTGACAACAGAGGCTTCTTTTATTTATTTGTTTTGTGAAATTCAATGAGAACACATTACAAGCAAAAATACCCAGTCATTTTGTAGAGACCTGAGGTTAGTGTAGTTAGTTTTGTAGAGGCCTGGGGTTAGAGAGTTAGTTGATGTCAGCCTGTGATGATTTCTATCTGACTTTCTTGACCCTTTAAAAAGAAGTTGTTGCTTTTTAAAATGTTACTCCCTACCTCCAGACACCTAACATTCATAGCATACTGTCTTGGATCCCAGATCTTCTTATCCTTGGAGAATCTCGAAACTAGCTGCCTACTATATAAGAATCAAATATAGCATACCAAAGAGCCTTGACAGAAAAATCACTCACTACAAACACACACACACACACACACACACACACACACACACATACACGCAACATTGGCCATACTTTATGAGAACTTTTAAACTATGAAAAAATATGTTAGAAATCTAAAGTTAACTTGTGCAAGTGGTATACAGCTATGCACACCAATTTTACCATTTTAGTGTTTAGAGTAGTCTGGACCCAGCTGGAGTAACAAATTCTTTTCACTACTTTAAAGTTGTGCCAAACATATTTCTACAGGGAAGCAGTACATCACAGTGGATCAGAATGTAGTCCCTCAGTGTCAACATCTCGAAATGTAAACCTGGCCTCACCACCTACTAGCTGTGTTACCTTGGAAAAAATTAATTAACCTCTCTGTGACCAAATTTTCTCATTTGTGGAGTTGAAAACTACCTACTTCACAGGACTATTCTGAGGATTGAATCACATAAAATATGTGGAAAGATCTACATATTTTAATTTTAAAAAAAGCACTATTTAACTTATCAAGGGACTACAGATTGTCTTAAGTCAAGAGCACGTTCTATTTTTAAAGATCAGCTTACTTAGGTTCTTATCTATTTATTAAAACACATGAGATGGACAACACTTACCAGTACTTTGAGGAACCCACAAACTGGGAGTAAATAAAATTTTATTTTCAAACATCTGGTCTGTTTAACCTAGGCTGCTGTCTCATTAGATATACTGGTTTCTCACTATGAAAGAGTAAGTTTAGAATGAGCTGGAAATTCGCTATTTGAAAATCTATATACCTCATCTTGTGTTTCCTTCCAGAGAAACAGAAAAAAAAAAGAGAGAGAGAGAGTAAAGATAATGGGTGAGTAATGCATGAAGCAAAATCTAAGACTTCCGGAAAGCCCTGTGAGCTAAGCAAAGATGAAAGTATTTTCTGGTTGTGAGGGAAGAATGTGAGTGCTTAATGGCTCAAGTTGCCCACAGATTCCTGGGATAGTGTGGGATATCAATCTACTTTATTTGATTCTGTAGAACTGTTACTTCCAAACCTAGCAGCGTGTCAGAATCTTTTTGAAGAGTGTCTTTAAAACGTACCGTTTCTTGAACCCTGTCCAGGCCAACAGAATCAGTATCTCCAAGGATATAGCCCTGAAATATATGTTTTAAAAAAGTTTTTATAGTAGTTCTTATACACAACTATATTTGATAATGAAGAACCAGAGATTTTTAAAATAAACTTTTGTTTTTACATTGGAATCAGTTTGGATGACACTACTGAGTTCTCATATACCTTGACTCATTTGCCCCTAATGTTAACGTTTTATATAATAATCATGACACACATATCAAAACCAGAAAATTTACACTGGCAAATTACTAATGTATTTTTTATATTTCTGAGTCCATTACAAGATTCTATAACACTTTTAATCGTCATGCCTCCTTAGTCTCCTCTGGCCTGTGGCAGTTTCTCAGTTTTTCAAAACTTTGAGAACTTTGAAGCATGCCCTCAATGTAGAATTTCCTCTTTTTTAGACTGAGGTTATGGGTTTTGGAAATGAGAGCCATAGAGGCAAAGTGCCCCTCTCTCATATCCTATAAGAGAGTACATGATACCAACATAACATCACTGGTGGTATTAACCTCCATCATTTGATTAAGGCAGTGTCTACCAGATCACTCCTCTGTTAGGTTACTATTTTTCCATTCTCATACTCTGTTCATTAGAAATAAGTCTTTAAATCTAGTCAAGGGTTGGCTGTATGCGTGTTGAAGGGGTGGTGTGGAGAGATGAATCAAGCTCCACTTCCTGGAGGAAGGAGTATAAGTGAAGGTTTATGATCAAAGTAGTACTTCCAGAAAACTGGGTTAATAAGGTACATTGGGGGAAGGAGACTATTGGTTGGGAAACTAGTGGCAAAACTCAAACCAGAGGAAATGAGGACCTGAACAAAAGCAAAGGCATTGGTGAAAAGGAACATATATCTTAAAAATATTGTGGAAGCGAAAGAAACCATGGTTACTGATTAGACATGTGGGAAAGAGAGACAAATATATATTTGCCAGATATACTCAGGTTTTGATCCTGAGTAACTTAGAGGAGGGTAATGCAATGAAGAACAGAGAAAGAGGATACCTTTGGTTGGGACATACAGAATTCAAAGGCTTGTGGACATCAAGGTAGACATATTGAACAAGCAGTTAGAAATTGAATCACAAAACAATTTACCTCCTTGTGAATTATGCTATCTTCCAGGGCCCATTATACAGCACAAGGCTGCCTCTCCTGCTCTCCAGTCATACTTCCAAGAAAACTGCTCACTCTCAGAACCAAGGTTCAATTTATACATTGTGGTTTGGGTAGAGGTAAGAGGAAACACCCTCAGATAGATTTGGATCATTCCAGATGTCCTATAAATGAAATTTGACATTTGCTCAATTATCACCATCTCACTGTAAAAGCAATGAATCTACCTTCATTGTGAAGATTTGGGGACTAGAATTAATGAGTACAGTAACCTTATGGATAGAACCTTCAGAGTTTTTCATTATCTATGTGAAGAGATAATTCTAAGATATTTGAGATCTAGTATCTGTCAGCTTGGGAACTCGTGTGTAGTCCCAAGACTAGACAAGGAAACCCTTATTAGTATTTTTATTTTCCATTTCAAATAAAAAGAGTATGTGTTAAAAAAAAAATGAGCTGGTTCAAGCTGTAAAGCATGTCTTAATTATATGTTTGGTAATACCTGAAAGCCAGAAGATTCCCAGAAAAAAAGAAAAAAAGTGTTGATTAAGTATCTTCCCCTTTTGAGGGTAGATAGAAAGAATAAAAGGAATTTCAAAGTCTCAGGTTGTTAGGAAGCTGCAAAGGTGATTTCTTTTTCCCCATTCCTTCACCTTAGCAAGGTGATAAGGCAGATGAAGGGAAGTAGGAGGCACAGGACCATGAAAATGGACCCAAGGTGATGGGGCTCTGTTCTCTTATAAATGGTCATCCTTCCAGGACATGCTTTCTCGCAGGCTGCTTCAGCATCTACTGACTGATCTCTGAAATTCGTTTCTCTCATTTCACCTTCATAGCTCAGAGTTTGTAATCCATCCATTTTGTGTTGTTAATGATAAACCACTTGTAAAGATCAGTTTAATTTCTAGTATAAATAATACAAAATAAGAGATGAAAATATTAGGTACACAAACGTTAAGAACTTTTTAAAAAAAATTTTCCCTCTCATTTTTTTTTGTTGTTTAAAACAAACCTTTTTCACTTCTTCCTCTCTTTTCCTCATTTATCATCTTATTTCTTATTTACAGTTTTACTTGTTTGTGATAGTGGCAGGATGATATTAATTTCAAAATCCTTAGAAACATAATTTGTTGAATCTAAAAGTTAAAGGTGGCCTTGTGCTTAGCTTTTTCCTAGAAAGATCTAATATTAAAATGTGACTTGCTATTATAAACCTTTTAGTGTAAATTATGAGCTTTAAAAAGAAATGAGAAAGCCTTCCTGAGAAAATGGTCTTTATCATGCTATATCGTACGAGCATCCTGTGGCCACTCAGCACTCACATTCTCTTTTACCAACCTATCTCTGTTTCCCTTTCATTATTATGCTCTCACCTTCACTCTGCTGAATATTGCTTTCTTGTCCAGTCACCAACAAACACTTATCTTTGCCTGTAAACCTCTTCCATATTTGTTTTTCAACACTCAGAGCTTCACATTTTATCTTTTTCTCATACCTCTCATTTTTATTTTCACTTACATTTTGCCTTTTCTCTCCTCCTTTCTGGGATGATTATTAAAGCATGACTCTGCCCTTACTCAGCTGTTGAGCATAACCTACCACCCATTTTTCCTAAAACATTTAGTAGTGATTTAAAAAGAATAAAACAATAGGAAAAGAGATTGAGGATACATAGTTCTTTCAATCTAGACCTGTGATTATCAACCATTTTGCAGTCATGGGCTGCTTTGAGAATCTGCTTAAAACTAGGAACATTTCGCCAGAAAGATTCACACAATTGCATAACACTTACTGCTGTAGTCTGTTTTGTGTTGCTGTAAAAGAATACCACAGACTGCATAATTTATAAACAATAGAGTTTATTTAGTTCACAGCTCTAGAGACTGGAAAGTCCAAGAGCAGGGTGCTGCACCTGTTGAGAGCCTTCATGCTGTGTCATCCCTCCGGGCCTCATCACCTCGTAACAGTCCTATCTCTCAATATCATCACAATGGCAATTACATTTCAACACTAGTTTTGGAGGGGACATTCAAACCATGGCATATATCAATCTAGGTACACAGATTCCCTGAAACAAGGTGAGTCACTGCTTTTCCAAGTAAGCTAAATTATATCTTACATGAAAATGGTCAATGAGAAATCACTGTCCTTGAACAGCATTATTTGGGTGATTCTAGAACTATTCCTAAGGAACTGTTCCCTAATGTTAAGCCCACAAAGCATAATGGGATACATTTCAAGAAGCACATCCAAGAAATTCATTATTTTATTAAAGGAAGATACATTGTTCAGCAGTTTGTTCACTGATTCACATCACACTAAGCTTCAGAAATCCCTGTGTTTTACTACCAGGAAGCCTGTGCCAGGCACATTCCTACTTCTAGATTCTCCTACCTGACCTTGTCTTCTTTAGAGATGTGCAGGGTTGACACTCACCTCCTCGAGGTGTTTCCTCAACTACAACCCCATAGTTTCTAATATTCTTGTAAAAGTGCTCATCCAAACGCTCCCCTTCTTTCTCATGTGACTCTGTGATGTGTGTTTCTAAAACATCTCTACCAAAGTGCCTATACTTGTAGAGATAGTGAGTGTATGAAGCAGGGGAGGAAAAATTTCTCCTCTACCTTATTAGGGTTTCTGGCTGGGCCTAAAAATTAAACTGGTCTCAACAGATGAAGAGAAGAAAAGCATACACATTTTATTCAGGAAAATTTTATATGTACATGTGGGTTCTAAGGATATATTAAAGACTGAAAGAAACAGAGCCGAACACTTATATACAGGGTTGAACAAAGAGTAGTAAATTATGAAAATGTAACAAGACAAAGGAATCTGGTCTAAGACAGGTAATAGTGAAGAAGTAACTAGTAACTAGAAAGATAAAGGTTAATTTAACAAGGTTTGTTTGTATAGATTTCTCTTGGTCTCCACTGCCCATCTCTGGAGATGAACATGTCTTAGTTTCTCCAAATGCAGGGAAGACATCATTCACATGTAAGTTTTATTTCCTGCTTTTGAGAAAAAAAGAAGTAAGATCAGAATGCGCTTTTGCATCTACTGTTTTTCAAATTCTTTTAATTCAAAATAATCAATATGCCAGAGTGGCACGTATTGGGGTGGCATATTCTGAGGTTTTTCCATGTCAACGGGGCTTTTAAAACTTCTGTTTTCGTGCAAAAATACACATGAAGTTGGTTTTCTACTCCATTTGATATAAAGATATTATTTTTAAATTCCTTGCCATTGAGGGAAATGGATTGTCCGTGAACATACACTATGTAGATCTAGGACTTGCAATATTGGCTGAGTTTTGAGCACTAGAGAAGAAGCCTAGGATATATGAATTCTGCAGAGACTGAGAAGCTCAGCAATAGAATATTCACTGCTTAGTCTAACTCTTGTTTTGTAAGGTATCTCTACTATTTGAACATTTTTTTGAAAAATTTTTTTGCCTGAAAATATGCTTCTAGGTCCAGCACCAATTTTGCCTCTTCCATGATCATGATCCATTCTCTAATTCTCATAACCAGGAATTAACTGCAACTTCTCCGAAAAATAAGTCAACTATATTCACCGAGATCATAAAATGTAAAAGAACTGATTGAGAAATGCGAAGCAAAGGGATAGACATTTTTAAATCCCTATAACGTGTCAGTATGTCCATAAATCATTTTATTTAATGTATTAATTCCATGAGATTTCTACTGTGATTCTCAAATGAAGACACATAAGCCAGATGTTGAATAACCTTCCCTAACACACTGCTAGAAAGTGGCAAAGATAGTTAGAAATTTTTGTTTGTTTAGTTTTAAAATGCGTAAAATTTATTGCATCTAGTTTAGTTTTCTGGCCTCCAGAGCAATTGCCTCTCAAAAATGGAGACAAACAAATGAACCCACTTAATTCTCAAAATAGAAATGCTAATGAGTATTGATAATGACTTTGTATTTTAGTATGTTTTCTCAATGAAGAAGTTACTTTGTAAGACAGTATTTATTGTTTATGACAAGTTTTCTCGACCTTGTTTTTCATCCATCAAGGAGCGGCATATCACTGAATAAAATGGTAGAATAGAGGACACTTTTGGTTTACAACTTTTATATACAGACCTCTGGGAAGTTACAGAGGTATTGCCAGAGTCTCTAAATCTGTATGTGCATTTTGAATTGTTGGCAAGTTGAATAATGTGTCTCATGGAAACATTAATTTGCATCTAGTCTTTAGAACGTATAAAGAGAATATTCCCGGTTAAGAAATATTTTACTGAATTCAGAGTCATTTTTTACACTTTGAGTATTTTTTAGCTAAATGAATACTTATTTACCTGAAAGCACAGAGATAATCAATAATTTTATTCTATTTTAGAAAGTGGTTTTAGTGCTGATAAAGATTGGGAACTCCTAGAATTTCTTTTTTTTAGAAAAAATTGCTCCATGTGGTTTTCAGAAGTAAATTAAATTTACTTTGGCACTGCACTGCATTTTATGTCTCTCTGGAAACATTTTGAAGTACATGGTGGATTTAATACCATTTAGTCTTTGGAAATATGATGAGCGGTTCCATTTCTGATTTTTCGTAATCAGCTGGCCTAGGTGTAAGATATTATTGCCTTATAGGGACATCTGCTGGTAGATAAATAAAGATCTGGAACAATAAAATACTGTCTTCTCAGTATTTCCCAGGGCATCCCTCTGAGACTGTAGGCTTGTGTGCATCTGCTTCAGAGAGTGCATGGCTGTTAAAGTTCTGAATATTGTATCATTTCACAGTCCGATCCTTCTGAGGTCACATAAAACTTGCCTTCATTACATATATGCTCTGTGCCCACAACAGATTCACACATGTATTAACTTAAAAAAAAAAAAAAAAAAAAAAAAAAAACTGACCACATATTATCCTGGAAACCTCAGACCTTCTGGAAGCTTGTGTAGTCTGGGGCAGGTAGCATGATAATTGCCGCACTTGGAGTATACAAACTCCCCACAGTAAGCCGTCATGTGCTCTGTTACCTGCCTTGGCTTTTTCAGATATGCATTATCATCTGATACATGCAAAGAAAAAAAAAAGCCACTCTTTCTGTTCCCAAATGCAAAAACAAAAGTAAAATAAATTAAATGATGTTACCAACTTCTTAACCTTAAGGCCTTTAATTTTTTCACAAGGAAAAGTATCTTAATAACTTTATCATTAAGTTGAAATGCTCCTCTTTCACTCAGCTACACAAGATTTTTCAGTAAGAATTAGCTGCACTAATTAATTACTACTTATTACTTCAGAGATAATTACTTGGTGAAAGTAAAGCAACCGGTAGTACTAGTTCTACTAACCTTAACCATCACCAGAAGGATGAAATACTTGATTTTCTTTTGGTGTTTTATGGAACAAAGATTACCTTCATACTCTATCTTTGGAAAAGCAGCACTGTATTAAATCACATATTATAGACTTAAAATTAAATTGCCCATAAACGTCAGTATTGCCAACAGTACAGAGTAGTAACTTATTCATGCCACTTCTTTAAACTCACCACATATTAATGTGCTAATGTGCTGGAAAATAAAGAATCATCATGTGCCTTCCAAATGCTGCTCTCCCTATTGTTTACATATGTATTTTGTAAGTGACTAGAAGACTGTTTCATCAGTTGAGGGATGCCTTGCCAAAAGAAACGACACAATCATTAACTAATTACAACTAAATAATAGCATTGCACATTTTGACAGGTTAACGCATATTCTATTACAAGTTGGAAACTTGAGAAAGAGAATAATAAAGCTACTACTCTTGCAAAATCCTCAAATGCCAATATGGAAAATAAACTCTTCAAGGATTTTCACCAACCATGTGTTTTTCTTTTTCTTCTTGCCCTCATTGTACAAAAGCAAACAATGTGAAGTTGAGTTAACATTCTAAACTAATTAAGTAAGCAATTAACTTATTTTTACCAATTTTATCCAATTATAAATCAGAGTCTACCCACATTCACAGTTTAAACATACTGAAATAATCATTTTGGGCTCTTTTCCCCTTTATCAATGAAGCAGCAGGATACACATGGGCTCAGATATAAAAATAACAAGGGAAACTAGGAGAGGAAAATTGGTATTTTCAAATGTAATCTAGTTCGTTAAAAATCCAAAAGCAGAACACAAAGATGTGCCTGAAATGGCGTATTACCGTAATTGTCTCTGAAGAGCTTCTCAGTTTAACTGAAAAAAAAAAAAATTTTTAGAAGGATTAATAAAAAATTAAATCATCTATTTTATAATTTCTTACAAAATGACTCTAATACTGTAAGCAGAGTGTCTCATTGTTCTCAATCACCCCATACACATTACACCAAAATTCTTCAGAAAAGAAAACAAACAAAAAAAAATTAGAGAGTGTTTTCTAAGCCCTGTCCTTTAGCAAGTAAATAAGATGGCAATTAAAGAATTGTTCTCCACCCTTGTAGGTACTGAACTATATATAAGTAAGTACTACAGACTGTTAAGCCCCATACAATGTGACTGGAGAAAGAATCACTACATGTCAAGTGGCATGCATTTAAGTATAGAATATCTAGTTGTTGGGGTTTTTCTTTTAATTTACTTATTAGAGCTTGGAAAAAATGTTCCCTTAGTTCTACTATTATAAAATTTCACTAGCAAAGACATAAAGTTGGCCACTTTGCTACCGCTAGAGTAATGAGTAAAGAGAGTCGACATATCAAACTAAACATTGGGAAAACACAAAACTTAGGAAATCAATTACAATATAATCTAAGAAGTAAGTCACTTAAGATATTTTGTCCTTAAGACTTGATATGGAATGACGAAAATTTTAAATTACTATATATCTTCCTTATGCTAGAAAACTGAATCATTACTCAGCATACAACAAAAGAGAATCTAAAAGGAAGGAATGTTAACATAAGAAGATGAAACGAGATCCATATATTAAAGGGTGATATTAGCATTGCAAACCCCCCAAAAATTGTAGAAAAAATTAAATTACTTACCTTTCTAGTTCAGTACAAATGTCCTACAGCTAATTATCATGAGATATTGCCTGGAAATTAACCAGTCATGTTGTGTTTCTATCTCCAGATTTACAATTAGTAATGCTATTAATGTGGTTCCTGTACTTAGCGTTACTAATTATATTGCTATGAACTAATGGTGTTAAAAATAGCAATAGCCATCAACTACCAATTAATGCTTAATGAGAGCATATAAACCCTGGCATTGTAATGAATTTCAAAATTATTGTTGCTTGTATTCCTTTTGCAATTGTGCAAAAATGGGTGTAACCAGTAACCACTGAAGTAGGGCATTGATTGAAAGCATAGTTACCACATCATTGCAGGAAAATCAAGAGAAGAAATAAATGGCTCCTTTAAGGAATATACATGTTTCCTTTTAATCTTACAATTCAACACACAGATTTTGGGAAAGATTCTGTTCTAGTTACACATATAAAAACACAACTGAAGCATGATTTGTAAAGATGTTTCAAACCCATGAATAAAATAGGACATTTTTTAAAACTTTGGAAGACGAGTTTCTATAAAAGAACCAGTGAACAAATCATTTATCCTAGAATTTACATAGGGTATAATATCTCAGAAGTTCAGACAGAAGATAGAGATATTAGCTAGGTTAGGCTGGATTATGCTACAGTAACAAACACCCACCAATGGCTTAACATACAAAAATCTATTTCTTGCTTACTCTATATGTCCAGCATTGTCACTTAGGGACTAATGCTCACTAGGTACTCAGGAATCCAGGGTGAAAGAGATTCCATCTTTTCATGTGTTTTCATTACCTGCAGAGGGAACTGGGAAAATTGTTTTCTGTCTATTATTTCTATCCAAAAGTGACTTATATTACTTTAGATGACATTTCATTGGGGAAAAAAAAGCATATGCTTGTGTCTAAGTACAAACTGATGGAGAATGACAGCAAGAAAGAGAATAACTAGAATACCAAGAGACAACTATATATGTTTTAGTACTTTGGCACTGTTTTAATGACCAAAGCAGGAAAACTTTCTCTAAAATGGAAAACTTCACTGGGGAACTGTCTGGTGGTGAGGGAATATTGAATAAACACCTATACATCTCTCTGAGTCTCTGGAAATATGTTCTTTGACCTTGTCACTAAGAAAGTCATTTCCTACAATGGGCTATGGGTATTTTCCCAGCAGTACACAGAACTGTGGTATTTATCTTTTCAACTTCAAAAAGATACTTTAATATTTTATCTTGACAGCAGCCTTTTCATCCCTTGGTCCCAGTCAAAACTATAGTGAACTTCAGGAATAGTAAAGAGTAGAAGTCACCTTAGAATGGGATAAGAAAAGGAGTAGCTTAACCAATAAAGTGGCTAATGATGTGAGCATGTTATGTGTATGTGTTGGTGTATTGTCAAACCAGCACAAAAATATGCTTAAGAAATCCACAATAATTATGCCAATTAGACACTAAAGAAGTGTTATAAATACGAATATACCACCCCAAAATATGGCAGTGACAGAGTTCATGAAATGGCACCCCAGAATATACCCAAAATGTAAGTTTTGGTGTATTGACTATTTTGAGGTTGAGGCATTTTGAAAAACAGCAAATGAAAGAAGAATCTTTCTTTGAACTCCCTTTGCCTACCTAAAGACAAATCCTCCAAAATAAACTCCATTGTCATAAACCATCTCCCCAGGAGTTTCATCAACTAGGAAGATGGACTCTTATTACAGGAGCAGAAACTAGAAGTTGACACCACACTGACAAACTTTGTCTAAATCTGTCATTATCACCCATCTATTCTTCTAAGGGCCCATTCATCTTTCCTAAAAAATCATTTATTCTCCCCTAAGTAACCAACATCTCTCTTCCCTTTCACTATTAAGATGGTATGTAAACTCTCACATCTCATGGTTTTGCAAGGTATTAGTTTTTTCCTACAACTCCCTTGTGGACATATTAAAAATTAATAGTTACATGCCTTTTCTCTTGCTAATCTGCCTGTTCTCAGTTTTTGTTTGTTTTGTTTGTACACCCAGCTACCAACCCTAGAATGATAAAGTCTTTATTTCCCTGCAGTAGACTAAAAAAAGACACTAAAGAAGACTTGCAAGACTTAACCACAACTCTTACAAATCTACACTTTACTGAAAGAGAAGGATAAATTATAGCATCAGCATTATAGTAAGAACATGCACCACAGCCAAAGGCTATCTTACAGCAAGGGGTCCAGAGTGGTCTGATGCAGGCTCCAATTGTCCTCTTTCTGCAAGGCCATACTAGATGCACTTTCTGACTTGCATCAGTGACATCCAACATGTGCATGGAACATTTAAAAAACAGGGGCTCAAAATAAAGTCTTGGTTGGGTCTTCTCATATTCTGCTCATCCAAAAGGTCATCACTGTTATGCGACTCGTCATAATGGTGGAGCTCACTGGCATCACACCTGAACAGGGTATAAACTGTAAATCTTGCTGTTACTAATAGCCTATACTGACAAGTTGGAACAAACTGTCCTGAAAATTGTCTGATAATCATGGTTATAAAATTATACTATTAATTATGTTTTTTTCATCCCAAGGCCAAGGCTCAGCATCATTAAGGTATCTCTTATAAAGCAACTTAGGACAATCCCAAAATAGAAGTATCACTCATAGCACAACATCCAAATAGGTTTCGCAAACTGCTAAGCATATGAACCAAGAAGGACACTTACAGTATTAATAGAGCAATTCAAAATACTGGGGTTTAAGGATGAACATACTTCTGGGCAAGGGACATATCTGAATTGTCTGAAGTTATTTTCAAACTGCATCCCACCCCTCCTACTTCAGAGTCCTCTAAAACTTAATGACTGTTGTTGTGCTGAGGCACTGAAACTGAGGCTGGTATGTTTTAGGAGTACTTGCTGTTCTAGTTACTATTCTGTGTGTAACATATTGCCTCACAACTTGGAAATTTAAAATAACTGTTTTATTAGACTTGCTGAATTTATGCTTCAAGAATCTGGAAAGGGTTCGTCATGGTGGAGTATCTACTCCGCTATGTCTGGGGCCTCAGCTAGAAGGACTTGAAGGCTGGGGGCTGGAATTTTCTCAAAGTCTCCATCAGTCACATGTCTGATGGTTGATGCTGGTTGCCAGCAAGGACTTCAGCTGTGCTCAGCCAGAACACCTACACACAACACCAACATCCACCAGCACCTCTCCCTGGGGTCACTTCACAGCAGGCAGCCAAATATTTCTTACATGGTGCCTCAGGGCTCCAAAATTGAGTGCGTGAAGAGAGAGGAAGTAGAAATGTCAGTTGCTTTTGTTTGTTTGTTTGTTTGTTTGTTTGTTTAAGTTCTGGAAACTAGTCCAGCATAACTTCCACTATGCTTCATCGGTCAAGCAGTCACAGGGTCCAAATTCCAGAGGTGGTACAGGACATAGATCCCACATCTCAACAGGGGGAGTATCAAAGAATTTGGGGGCTGTGTTTTAAAACTGTGACATCTGCCTACAATAAAGTGTTTTCAATGTTTGGCTTCCAGTCTTCAACTTTTATTCTGTTTTGCCAGACACCTAGTATAAGACCATAATACTTGCCTTTTTGGAAGTTTGCGATTAGAATTCACCCAAGCAGCCTTAAAAAAAAAAATCTATTGAGTAGTGAGACTGGGCAGTCAACAGAGGGTACGGCAAGT